AATACTACATTTAATCCCAGTGATCTCTAGTAAAACTTTGTTCTCTAGAAAGTTAGGCTGGGGTATTAAGCTTAGAAGGAAATAGCTCTAGTCCTTGAAATGCCAGTCCTTTCTTTCACTAACTAAACCAACTACTTAACAAGATAGAGAACAAACTGAGGGTTAATGGGGGGGGGGGGGGGGGGGGGGATGGGCTAGATGAATGATGGGTACTTAAGAAGAGCAGTTGTAATGAGCACTGCATGCTCTAAGTGATGAATCAATAAATTCTACTCCTGAAATCAATATTGCATTCTATGTTGGCTAACTAAAATTTAAATTAGAAAAAAACAAAACATCTAATTCACAACAGCAATTATCCTGAATGTTACAAGCAGTGATTCTCAGCAAGGGTCGATTTTGCCACCCAGGGGACATTTGGAAATGTCTGGAAACCTCCTTAGTTGTTGATTGGGGAGTGTTACTAGCATGTAGTAGGTTGATGCACAAAAGAGCCAGGACAGTCTCCAAAACAAAGAACTACCTGGCACAAAATATTAGTAGTGCAGAGGCTGAGAAACTGGCTAAATTGTAAAAGAACAAGTAGCAGGGCTCCTGGATGGCTCAGTCAGTTAAGCATCCAACTCTTGATTTTAGTTCAGGTCATGATCTTGAATTTCATATCAGCCCTGTAATGCCAGTGTGGAGCCTGGTTGGGATTCTCTCACTCCCCTTCTCTGCCACTCCCCCACTCACATGCTCGTTCATGTACACTCTCTCTCTCAAAATAAATAAACTTTAAAAAAAAATTAAAAATAGAATACAAATAAAAAAATAAAAGGGCAAGTAGACTCTGGAGAAACATGTTCCTGATAGTTACTTTCCTCACCTCAGAAGTAGATAAAGTCAGCCTGTGTTGCATGATGAACTTGAAACCAACTTACTTTTTAAGAAACAAGGGCTCTTCAAATTGCCCCTAGGCTGGAATAAAAGAGGACCTGAAAGTACTGAAATATAATTTATCAGGCTGCTGATAACATTCATGGCATACATTTTGAAAAGCAAATGTTTAATGCAATAGCTCCCCAGGACAGACCTTAGGCAGAAAGTCACCACCCAAGGTATAAAAAGGGGTTTCTCTTACAAAGGTCATACCCCTTGGAGTGGCACTCTTCATTATCACAGCAGCATGGGACACACTACCTGCCAGCCCTGAAAGTGCCCAACATTATAGTTGGGTGAAGAAACCACAGACATCCAATCACACACAATGAGGGCTGTATATAAGGTGACCAAATATCCCCATCTGTCCTGGAGTCCCACTTTACCATATTGTCCTGGCATAATTAATAGCACTTCTCTTCACTCTCAAAGGGAGCAGGAAATGTACAAGAGGAGTTTGCAACATCCTGTCCTATCAGAAAATAAAGAAGCTATCAAAGATGACTAGAGTTATGTCAAAAGGAATCAGGAGGCAAGTTGAAAAGGCTCCCAATGACCAAAAGTGAAATGATCTGAGCATCAAGAAGTACAGTGGACTGGCTGTAAATCCAAAATCCATGAATGTATGCTGATTGAAAAAATACCTGATCACAATTACAGAAAACAAAGCAACCAGATCATTATTGTGAAAACAGGCAAAAGGACGAATCAAGCATTTCCTTTCCTGTGAACTCTATCTAAGAAACCTAATGGTTAATGAGGGAAAATTTCTGACAGAAGCATTCCAGCTAATAAATGAATCATTTATAGAATTTATGAAATAAATACATCTAGGATCCTAACATCAGAGAGAAACAACCAGACATGCCATCATCTATAATGTGTTCTTGCCAAAATACAAGAAATGAATTTGGTTATTCCTTTAAGTTTTTGGTTAATATAGAGGGCAAAAAAACATTAAATAACATCATGGGTATGCAAACAGCAAAATTCAAAGACAAGAAATTCTACAGGATAAATAAATAATGCAGTTGCTTCCATGAATGAATTTCAAGAGAAAAAAGAATAGGAATTATACATTGTAAGACTTAGAAGACTTACAATTTATGCATCTTATTTAGATCCTAATTCAAATAAACTTTTTAAACGTATGTGCTTTTTAAGAAAACATTAATTGCAAATTATGAAATTATTTTTATTGGTATGATAAAAGTATTGTGGGTTTTCTTTTGCAAAGAGTTTATTTTGAGAGAGCAAGTGCGAGCAGGGAAAGAGCAGAGAGAGACAGGAGAAAGAGGAAAAGAGAGAGTCCCAAGCAGGCCCTACGCTGTCAACACAGAGCTCAACGCAGGGCTTGATCTCACGAATTGTGAGGTCATGACCTGAGCCAAAATCAAGAGTTGGACACTTAACTGACTGAGCCACCCAGGCGTCCCTCAAGGAGTTCTTATCTTTCAGAGGTACACACTGAAATATTTATAGACAGTATTTGGGAGCTGTTTTGAAATACTTCAGTAGGGTAGGAAGACAGGGAAAAGGGTATAGAAATAAAACAAGATCGGCTAGGAGTTTACAATGGGTAAAGCCAAATAATGAATACATGGGGATTCATTATATATGTCTGAAATTTTCTATTATAAAAAAATGTCTAAATAGAAAAATACAGAAAAATATTTAACATTTGAATACATAACAAAAATACATGCTACTAAAATTCCATGGAAAAAAATTTTTTGAGGCTGTTTGAGGCATCATCCATAAACTTTGGTCTCAAAGCAGATACAGGTGCCCAAGAAAAAAAGCAAGGCCTGGCTCCTACCTGAGTTTCTCTGAAGAGATTCCAACTGGCTGAAAACCCACAGTCCTATTTGGCTAAGCATATTATCAAAAAGAATCTAACCATTTAATTCAGGTAAACAGGAAGACCACTGATGAGCAACTCCCAGCCTGTAGTGGCCCAACACTCCTCACCTAGCTTTGGAATATGGACCTCCTAGAGAAGGCCAAGCTCAAGCCAGGTCAGCCCCCAGGTCCTACAGACCAGAAGCCAGAGACTCATGAAAAGCCTTTCCCTGGGTTTGGCTGCTAGCTGGCTACAAGCTTTGCCAAGCTTGTCTGGGAAGTGGGGAAAAAAGAGCTGATTCTGCATCTGGATCACAACACTGCTAAGGAGAAGCAGCCTAGTGTCTCAGATAGTGGATGACATCTCAGATATATTTATGGCCTGGCTACTAGAGGCTCATGGAGACAGTGGAGAGGCCAGGAAATCATCTGCTAAATCAAAATCAAACATCATGGCTATCTACCATAGTTATCTAAGAAATATGTGATAAAATAATGTGTTTCAAAGTAGACTGAGTAATACAACTGTGTTGAAGTCATCATTTATCTGATTTACAATAAAAAATGGGGAGAAAAAAACCTTAGAGTAAAAGAATCTAATATTAAAAGGCACCACAAAACAAATCACATCTTATTATAGTACCATGTCAACAAAAGACAAACTCACCCAGCGTCCAGCATTTGAAAGCATAGCACTACAACAACACTGCATTGTAGTCCATGCTCATTACACAGATATTTTAAACAGAATTTTAAACAGAAAGGAAACCTTTTAGTGATGGCAAAATAAGAAAGTGTAAACAGTACAAATACTGTATCTTCTCATTAAGTATTTTTAAATGCCTACAAACATCTCTATTTTGCCTGAATCGGCACTTATGTAAAACACATCGCTACCACCTCATCAGTCCCAGTTGGCAACTGAGAGCCTCTCAGATGACAAGGATCTAGATGTATTGACAGAGACTATCCGGTAGCAAGAGGTAAGTGGCGAATGCATTTCAAGGCAAGACACTGACAAGGACCAAGCAAAGGCTCAGATCCCAGGTCCAGAGAGTTTATGGGAGTACCCATGGGTTCCACCTTAGGAGGTTCTGAAGATCAAATATATTCACTAAAATGTAGGCTCCACGAGGTCAGGGACTTTTCCCATTTTATTTACTGATATATGGCAAGCACCTAAGAGTTCCTGGCACACTGTTGGGCCTCAATAAATATGTGTGGAATGATAAAGTGAAAATAGAAAAAAAAGCATCTTATATGCTATAAAATGCCATCAAATACAGTGTATTAATAATAGTTCATCTTTCAGATTTATTTAATTAGATCTTTATATAGAACTGAACACTTTTTAAAATACTTTCATGTTTATTCGGTAATCAATAGCAAAATATTAATTTCCTATTGGATGGGTGGATAGTTGTTACAGTACAAGGAATAATGGGGAAACTATACAAATGAGGGTATGCTGTTACAGAGACAAAGGGGGTAAAAATAAAGTAAAATAAACAAGGCTGCCTGAGAGATCCTAACTAGGGAGGGGAAGATCCAGCACCTGAGTGGCAGGGCAGAACGAGTGAGCACCAGAAGACCACCCTCTCAAACAGCACGTACCACAAACATAACTTAGAATGTCTGGAGCTATTAATGGTTCTGTGTGTGTTCCCACTGCTAAATCACCAGTTCCGGGAGGCTCACAGCTCATGTGCCTCATTCACCACTGTGCTCCCAGCACCAGACACAGTAGCTGTTCAATAAATACTTGTTAAATGGAAAAGAAGAGAGGCAGAGTCTGAACTAATGATTTTGCAGGTCGATACAGCCCTCATCACAATGAGGTGTAACTTGCCAACATGGGACAAAACTTTGTCAGACTTGCTCGAGAGGCGTACATGACATCCCAATGAAGGAAAAAAACTTCAACCTGAACTGAAGTTCAGGATATAATTTCCCAAAAGACAGTAAAAAACAGTTTGCACCACTTGGATAAGAGACGTGAGGAGCTGTGCTCTCTGGAAACTCAAAATAAATCAGGCATTGCCTTGCTTCTGTTTGACAACAAATGGAAAGAAAATGGGTCAAAGTGCCTTTCTGCACCCTATCACTCTACCACTCCCTCCTCAAAGCCCTTCAGTGAGGAAAGACGAATGCATCCTCCAATGGGATCTCCCTCCACTTGGCGATCCTGAAAGGTCCTACACCTTCCAGCACCTTCCTTTCGTAAAAAAGGTGCATCCTTACTGTGCCAGGGTCTCCTGGCGATGCTGAGTTTTCTGATGCCGATTGAGGATGGACCTCTGGTTGAAGCTCCTCCCGCAGGCTGGACAGTGGTAGGGCTTCTCCCCAGTGTGGATCCTCTGGTGTCTGACCAATCGCTCCCCTTTACTGAACCGCTTCCCACACACCTGGCACCCATATGGCTTCTCCCCGGTGTGGGCTCGCCGGTGCACAGCCAGGTTTGCGTTCCTGCTGAAGCTCTTGCCGCACTCACAAGTGTAGGGCTTCTCCCCCGTGTGAGTTCTCCGATGCACCTGCAGATGCTGCCTCCGGCTAAAGCTTTTCCAGCAGTCACCACACTTGTAAGGCTTCTCCCCTGTGTGACTCCTCTGGTGGACCTCGAGGTGGTGCCTCTGACTGAACGTTTTCCAGCACTCACTGCACACATAGGGTCTCTTTCCCAGGTGGGTTCTCTGGTGCTTCATGAGGTACTCTCTCAAGGTGAACCCCTTCCCACACTCGACACACCCATAGGATTTCTCTTCTTCATGGGTTCGCTGGTGTCTGACAAGATTTGAGCTCCGACTGAAGCCTTTTCCACACTCAGGGCACTGAAAAGGCTTCCAAAAGGAGCTGTGGGTCTTGAGGTCATCGGGCAGGGGTATGACACCATGCTGAGGAAGAGGCGGCCCTGGCATGTTTCCCACAGAGCTACTGGGCTCCTGCTCACAGGTTCTTCCAAGCTCAGGGCTCTGGAGTGTGGCTTCCCCAAACCTCTCTGCCGTCACCCGAGCAAGCGCCCCCTTGAGGTCTGCCTGCTGGGTTTTAGACTCCTTTTCCTTGCTCCCAATGCCTACAGGACAAAGGAGATACAAGCTAATTCTGTAGCAGTTATGAAAGTAAAGTTTTATGTTAGAACTTGGCTTCTAAAGATGTCCCATTAACAGTTCTTTCTTTTTCCCTTTGACCAATAACCTCAATACAGTTTTCTTTCATGGACTCTAAAACCAGACTTCACTTTACCTTTTCCCACTTTGTTACTGACTGAATGTTTGTGTCTTCCCCAAATTCATAGGTTGAAAACCTAAGCTCCAACATGATGATATCAGGAGATGGGCTGTTCAGGAAGTTATAAGGTACAGTCATTAGGGTGGAGCCCCCATGATGGGATCAGTGTCCTTATAAAAAGAGGAAGGGAAACCAGAGCTCTTAGCACAGAAATCATGTGAGCATGATCCCTCATGATGGGAGAGGCAAAGACACGGGATAGATCCCTCAATCCCACAATCTCACTCTGTCTGCCATGTGAAGACAGTGAGGTGGCAGCCAGCTGCAAGCCAGGAGGAGGGCGCTCTCCAGACACTGAATCTACAGGAACCTTGATCTTGAACTTCTCAGCCTCCAGAACTCGGAGAAATAAATGTTTGTTGTTTTAAGCCACTGGCCTATAATATTCTATTGTAGCAACCTGAGCTAAAACTCTCCATATCTTTTTTACAGAATAGTCTGCCAAATCTTAATGTGCTCTCAGTTAATTTTCTAACTCAGACTTGTATTTCCTTCTAAATCTAACTCAATGATTTCCTTGAAGAAACATTCCCTGATTACTCTCTTAGCTATGTCTCTTCAGCACATTTATACTGAATTAGCACTTTGTTTATTGTGCACTTATTTATACACGACCTTGTTGAAAATGCCATTTTACATTCCTCAAGGTGTTCTCCCTGCCCTAGAGATTATAAACCTATTCCAGCTTATTCCATCCAGGTGGGCTACTTGAGAGTTCTCCATAGCCTCCATACACTTGCTCAGCACACGGTCCCTGCCCCCGCTCCTCCCTCCACCTAACCAGATTTTATTAATCTGGGTCTCCTGGGAGACTGTCACAGGCTTACTAACTACTAGATGAATGAATGAATCCGATCTGTCACTGACTTCTACCAGACTGAAATGCGCGTGAATGTTGCTGAAATGCCTCAACCCTTCTAGAAGTTCTTTCTCTGATCCCTGTTTCACTCTCTCTAAATTAACAGAACAATTGTTTACAGAACAGGCGGAAAGGGAGGTGAACAAAAGGGAAGGCCCTAGGAAGCAAAAGAGCCAAGACAGAAAAAAAGAGAGGCAGGGTACCTGGCTCAGTCAATATAGCATGTGACTCTTGATCTCAGGGCTGTGAGCTCAAGCCCCACATTGGGTATAGAAATTACTTAAAAATAAAATCTTAAAAAAAAAAAAAGGAGAGAGAAAGAGACAAAAATGACAAGCAGCACTTAGGCACAGAAAGGGTCCTTTCAGGTAAGGCCGTTAAAACACAAAAAGAAAAACATCACATGCCTAATCTAAACAAATATGAAAGACACAGCTGTCACCTCTGACAGATTCTTCTATAAACTTTCCATGAAAGTAAAGATGCACAAAACATAACTGTAGAATTCAAAGAATTTTCATAATGAACACAACTATATAAAAAGCATCCAGGTCAAGAAACTACCAGTATCCAGAAAGCCCTCTCCCAGCCCCTCCAGTGACTATATTCTGCCGCCCCCTGGCTAACATGCTATTCAAACTTTTATCAGCATAAAGTACTTTTACCTGGTCTTGAACTTTGTGTAGTGGATTCAAATATTGTTTCTGGATGCTTCCGCTCATTATTATCCTTGTAAGATTCACCCATATTATGGAATGTAGCTATAGTTACACTATGTTCTTTTTCATTGGTATGACACTGTCAGAATATATTGTAATCTATTTATGAACTTGACTGATATTCATTTGGGTAATTTCCAGTTTTCAGGTGTTACGAATAGTAAAACTGACACTAAATGCAATGCACGAGTCTTAGCTGGACCCTGGGGAGATGTGAGTATGTGCTAGGTATTATGTATCATAGAATTCTAGTTTCTCAGGCCTAATCCAAAACAGCTATCAATGCAGGAGCCACAAGTACATGGGAATAAATCACAGGAAGACCTGAAGGCTGAGACAGCCAGTAGACAGTATGCGTGGGAAATGGACCTTGGCCCACCCAGACTCCGCATAAATGCTTATGGAAGTGCTTGGGTTGTTTGAAACAGTGAGAACAGCACAAGAATACAACCAGAGTCTCCAGAGCAATCAGATGGCAGGGACGGGGGGCGGGGCAGGTATAAAAATCCTTTGGAATAAGAGGGCAGAATCATTCCAACACACAGCAGCATCACCAGCAGAGGGCCCCTGGGGGCATCAAGGCACTAGAATATTGGTATCCCCACCATCTCAGCTGTGTTGCAAGAGGTCCTGAACCGCATGGTTATGTCTGAAGGTTTCCACATCCTCTACCATCTACAGAAGTCTTATATCTCAGGACGCCTGGATGGCTTAGTCGATTAAGCGTCCAACTTCTGCTCTGGTCATGATCTCACAGTTCATAGGTTCAAGCCCCATGTCGGGCTCTGTACTGACAGCTCAGAGCCTGCTTCGAATTCTGTGTCTCCCTTTCTCTCTGCCCCTCCCCTCTCTCTCTCTCTCTCTCTGTCAAAAACAAATAAACATTTTTTAATAATAGTTTTTAATAAAAAAAGAAGTCTTACATCTCTTTGTAACACATGTTGGCATCCTTTGGCCACTCACATCACTGCCATGGTGTGACAACCCTGTCCTGGACCCAGGTCTCCTGAGCCCCTCCTCTAGGGCCCCTTACACTACTCCATAATGACCATTATTCTGTGCATTTGGACTCTTCATATGAACTACTAAGATCGCAAAGGCAAGGGACTTTAACTCTTCATAGTGACTGGCAGAGTACTGGCCACAATACCAAATAAAAATTTTTGGGTGAATAAATGAATGTTGACTGACTCATAAAGGAATAATATTTGTATAGCTAATAAAAGTATCTAACACTATCATATTCACCAAATGCTAAGCTTTATCATCTCATTTAATCCTCACGACACCATGAGAGCTCTGTGAATGTCCCCATTTTGCGACTGAAGAAACGGAAGCCCAGAAAGGTCACAGTAAGTGGTGGAGCCAGGACTGGTTCTCTCATGCACTAAAGGCAGTACAGTGATACTCTCATTTATCCCTCAACATATTTCAAGATGGAAAAATGCCAGGTGGGGTGGAGTCAGGACAGATGAGCAGTCAGCACATACTCAAAAAGTTATGAAAAGAAAAGCAGAGGGAACAGAGGAAAGGGTTGTTCCCACTCACGTTTCTTTTCCTCTCCCTCTCCAACCTGCAGAGATACCACCACTCCGGCAGTCTCCAGCCCCTGCAGTGCCCTCCCCGGCTTCCCCGCCAGGGCCTCTCCCTGTTCTTCGCCAGGCTCACTCTTCCTCCCTTCTCTTACTGCTCCTCCTCCTGTGAGCACTTTCCATGTGCATCGTGGTCTCACCCTTCCAGCTCCAACCCCAGGTAAAACCTGGCCACCACCTGAGACAGACCCAGCCCAGGCTCTGCTTGCTCTGTGACAGGGGCCCACATCGAGCAGCTGGGCATTCTCTGTACACACGCCTGGTGCTCCGAAGGCTTCCCTACCGTTAGTCCTGCCCCAACACAAAGCTGCAAAGTTGGAGCCAGTGCCTGAGGGACACTCAATAAATCCCTGCTGAGGGAACGAGACACAAGATCGTCTTTTGCTTTCAAGCCTGCGTGGGTACTCTTCAGTCAGAGACAGAATAGGTGCTCCAGGAATCCTAATGAGCAACCTGTCTCATCACAGCCAGTACCTGTGTTTTCTTGCCCCCTCGTTGGTTCCTCTCCCGACAGGAAAGCACATGCCCGGCTCCTTAAACCCTGGGTCCACACTCTTTCCTTGGACCCATTTACTTGCCTTCTTTTGTTGGTAGCACCAGGTTCTGAAATCTGGGGCAAGGGCAAGAACTCCAACCTGTAACTTTCACAACTCCTCAGTTTCTTACCTTTGGGATGGAAACAGTCTTACCTGGAGGTGAGACCCCACAGTCCTGGGGTTCCACATATTCCCCAAAACAGTCTATCTGGGCTGGGGTCACATGTCTCCATTCCTCCTCAGGGAAGGCCAGAGTCATATCTTTAAATGGCCCCAACCCCTGAAACAACAGAAGAGTGTTAAGGATAAAGAAATAATCCCAAAGTAGGAAAAGTCTAAAAGTGGGAGCAAACACAGGGATAATACTCTAGGGAAGAACAGAGCAAGAGACAGAAGGAACCAGACCCCTAGATGGTCTTGGGAGCACAAGTCCCTACCTCTTGATAGTTTAATGACAGGGAAGTAATGGACTTGTCTGAGCTACTATATTTCCGAGTCTCTGCTGCAGACACCTAGGTTGTACCCTAACAACCACAACACCTAATTCCTGCTTTTCAATTGCCTCCACTCAATCCTCAAGCTTGATCAAGACCCAGAGCTATTTATCCCTTCATCTAAAACTGATCTTCCCTCAAAGGGAAGTAAATATTTGGGCAGGCCGTGTCTTAAGAACAATACTGTATTAAAATAAATTCAGTATTGGGCACCTGGGTGGCTCAGTAAGTTAAGCAACTGACTTCAGTTCAGATCATGATCTCACAGTCGTGGGTTTGAGTCCCACATCAGGCTCTGAGCTGACAGTGCAAAGCCTGCTTCAGATTCTGTGTCTCCCTCTCTCTCTGTCCCTCCCCTGCTTGTGCACACACACATTCTCTGTCTCTCTCTAAAATAAACATTTAAAAAAATAGTAATAAAATAAAATAAATTCACTATCATCTACAACACCATGAAGAACTATTACAGCAAAAAAGAGGGTCTGGAAAAATTAAAACATGCTATCATCCTTCATCTCCTCCAAAACACATGCTAGGGAAACAGAAACAGGAAATGGTACAGGCATAAAACTTGCCCAAACAGTGCTTTAGCTAGACCAGATTTGAGTCATTATTTTTTTCTGGCAAATGACCCCTTTCCTTCTACCTTCCTTCTATAAGGACTCTTCACTTTAAAACTCACTGTCTCTGGGACACCTGGGTGGTTCAGTTGGTTAAGCATCCAACTCTTGATTGCAGCTCAGGTCATGATCTCATGATTCATGTGTTTGAGCCCCACATCGAGCCCTGCGCTGGACTCTACACTGAATGCAGAATCCTGCTTGGGATTCTCAATCTCTCCCTCTCTCTCTGCCCCTTCCCTGCTCTCTCTCTCTCTCTCTCTCAAAATAAAAAACAAAACACTCACTGTCCCCTTCAAAAAGGTGCCACACTGGAAATCTCCCACCTCCCTGGTAACACTCAACACAGAGTAGACATGACAAGAGTGCCCCAACTGTGCTCATTACCCCCATATGTGGCAGGCAAAGAAGTCAAACAAGGCCAAATCTTGGTGTAGTCGGGGTAGAGGCCAGAGGGAACACTCTGCTCAGTGTTCCAGGGAGTCTCCAACCCTGAGTCAGCTACATTCCTGCTGACGCGGGAGGAGGAGAGGATCCCAAGGAAAAGCAGCAGCAAAAGTATCCATAAAGACGATCTACAAAGGGTATTGATTTCCTGATCGACCACCACTGCCTAGATCAAGCTTATGGGGTTTATATCAATAATGTCTTCCTCCTCAGTAAAAAGTAATACAGAGTCAATTAAAAAAAAAGTCACAGAGCAATAAAATCAACTGAATTGAGCCTCATGCCTGGGCCCTAAGGCATAAGGCTCAACTCAACAAATCAGGATGACAAAGTGGAGAAAACAAAGCTATCATATCCATCAGAACAAGAAAGGTACAATAATTCAACTTGTGGGCGGCGCTTTGTTGTGCAGGGAAACTTTAGGGAAGGTGAATCTCATTCAAAGCAACGTCAGAAAGGCAGAAGTACAGCTCACCTGGGGTCCAGCTGAAAGGAACCCAGCTGCCATCTCTTGGTCTCTGGTGTTCACTGGAGGGAGGCCAGAACCAGCCTGAAGAACTGGCAGAGCTAAGCAAAGGGGAAAAAAAGCATGAGAAAGGGGCGCCTGGGTGGCGCAGTCGGTTAAGCGTCCGACTTCAGCCAGGTCACGGTCTCGCGATCCGTGAGTTCGAGCCCCACGTCAGGCTCTGGGCTGACGGCTCGGAGCCTGGAGCCTGTTTCCGATTCTGTGTCTCCCTCTCTCTCTGCCCCTCCCCCGTTCATGCTCTGTCTCTCTCTGTCCCAAAAATAAATAAAAAAACGTTGAAAAAAAAAATTAAAAAAAAAAAAAAAAGCATGAAAAAGATTAGTGCTGTCTTGTAGTTAGCTTGTTCAAAGGTGTCCACTGCCTGACACACAGAACCCAGGAACCTTAAGGAGACTCCACACAGACCTACCCTCTTCTCAACTGGGCAGATGGTCTCGACCCAATGTACCCTGGCCCTTGAAGGCTATTCATGCTCTCTGGTCACACTCTGGGAATAACCCTCTTTGAGATTCAGTAACACAATGAAGTCATACATTACTTTTAGGGATATGGTTTGTCCACCCACTTAAAAAATCCCCCTATATGTCACCTGCATATTTCCAGGAGGTTTCTAGAAGGGATGTGAGGGAAAGAAGAGAAGAAATGGTAAGAGAGCACAATCCCAGATATCCCCTGCAAAAATCAGAAAGTCAAGGTATAGAAAACAATTTCACTTCATCTGTTTCCTACTGAAGTCAAGGAAGTAATCAGGAAAACTCCTAATTACAGCTCACAGATAACTTATTTATCAATTGCTGGGCTTGTAAAGGAGGGTCACAAAGTGCAGTTTTCTGCATCCTTACTTCTTTACTGTTTGCATCTTACCCTGCTCCTGGAAGGCTTGTGTCCCAGCTCCAGGGTCTTGACTGAGTTGCTCCTCAGTGCCTTGGTCTAGGCCTTGAACTCCTTCCCCATGGGGCATCCCCCATTCAGGCTTGACCTCCACTGGCCCCAGGTGAACACCTGGTTCCCAAGGGCCTCTGCAAAGTGCTGTCTCCTCCCGTTCTCCCTGCACGAGGCATGGAACCTAAGAACAGTCCCCAACACCTATTAGAATGAGGCCTGGGTGAGGGAGTTGAATTAAAACCTAAAAAGAGAACAAAGAAAAGGACCATTCCAACTGCAAGAGGAGGACAAAGCCGGCTCAGCTCTTCCCCAGGACATCAGTGAGAAGGTGAAAAAGAGGTAAACCTCTCTTTATCAGGCTCCGAGCAACTGTTATGTGTCCCTGCCCTTTTACAAGGGTCCCTCCTGCCTGCCTCAATACTGACCAAATTCCACCAGGAATAATATCACAGAGAGACTAAATATTGTTTGGTTGACAACTTTAGCCCAAAATGCTCCCTACTAGGAAAAAAATCCCCCAATTATAAATGCTGAAAGTAAAAAATACAAAGCCTTGATTCAGCAGTGAATTAGCTAGTGAGAAAAACTTGCTCTAAAAACAGCGAGGAAAATCAGGACAACTCACACTGTGATACACTCACAAAAACAGGCCCTTCTTCGTCTACTTTTAAGCTCCTGAATTGGGAATAAAAAAATAATTCTTAGGATTACAGAGGAAGTCACGAATAACTGCAGTAGGAAAAGGAAGAATAAACTGAAGAAAGATGATTACTTGCAAGCAAAACAGTAATGTTCAGTCCTACTCTCTTCTTTCCCAGCCAACAATAAGGTGACTATACCACAGAATGACAAACATGTGGCCAGAGTCCCAAGGAAGCATCTGAGATGCAGTTACTTGGTGTCACCAGAACACCACCACAGAACCACTAACGTGAGCCACTTGAGCCAACGTCCCAGATATCGAAACAGCACTGTTTAGACAATGCTTCTTAATAATAATATTCACCCAATTGGAATTCCCCACTTTCCACATGCATCTCTGCCCAAAGAGAAGGAGTCTATGAGAGATCTTCAAATTGGTCACGACTACCTTCTTTGGGCCTGGGGCTCACAAAGGAAATATGGCCAGGCCTTTGTCCTGATGACCAGAAAGGAAGCTAACAGCTCTTCTACAGGCCCTGCATCTTCCTTGGGAATGGCTTCTCATGCTGAAAATTCCACTGCCTTCCAAAAAGTACCTCAGGGAGTCTGGGAGCAGATGAAGGAGACTGTACACCTCATCTACTCCCACTGCTTCTTCAAACCTTTCAATTCTTTAAATGTCCCCTTCCCATACCGACAAAACAAGACCCAGATACCCCCTTCTCACCCACCGCCTTGGCCTCCAACGTTCTCTCTGTGAAGTCCTCCACCATGGCCACAAGAGCCTTGCCACTCTCCAAGCCATGCTCCCGAATCCAGGCATAGAACTCCCGTGGCAGGATGGTCAGGAACTGCTCCAGCACCAGCAGCTCCATGATCTGCTCCTTGGTATGCAGCTCAGGCCTCAGCCACTGGCGACAGAGTTCCTGGAGTTCCCTGAGGGCTTCCTGAGGACCAGCTGCCTCCTGGTAGCGGAACTGCCGAAACCTCAGACGAAAAGTCTCAGGACTAGGGTCCTCCCTTCCCCTGGCCCATGGCAACTCTTTCTCCAGCTTTACCACAGGAACACCCATCTGTTGCTGGGGGTCTTCTGCCATCCCTGGACGCTCCTTTAGCATCTTCACACTCCTCCCAGAAGACTGAGGGTCTATTGGGAAGACCAGACAAACAATAATGGCAGCATAAGTGAGACAAGGAAAGGTCAGTCCATCACAGTTCTTTGTCTACATCAATGGATATTCTGCTGGAGAGCATAATTAGTTTCTGTGAAGCAGAACAAAAGACCAAACATATATCCTGAAAATCATGCCAATTCAATTCAGTAAGTATTTGCTGACCACCTAGTATGTGAAGAAAAATGTAAAGAGTTTACTTTATACCCACAAACATTGTAGGATCTCATTAGGGAGATAACACTAAAATCAGAAAATATAAAATAGGTTATAATTAGATGAGTCACCAGGGCCTACTCTTCCAACACTGTAAGAATTAACATGTTCAACAAATATGTGTGCCAGGCGTGCAGAAACTAGAAATATAATACAGAACAAGACAAACAAGGCACCTGCCCTTTGAAACTCATATACTAGTGCAACAGACAGAAAAAAACAAATACAAGCAAATAAGTTAAAATTAAATGGAGATAACTTCTAGAAAGGAAATGTGTAGGGTGGTCTGTTAATGGGGGATGAATAACTTAAAGAAGGCTCTTCTGAAGAGATGACACTTAGGCTGAGACCCACCGATGAGTACGAGCCAGTCATTCAGAGATTTTTCCAGGCACCAGACTTGAGGTCAGAAATTACTCCACATGTCTGAGAATAAGGCAATGGGAGTGAAGCTTTGGCAAAGTTAAGTGAGGGACAGAGCCGCACGAGAAGAAGTGACAGAGGCAGGCAGAACCAGATTATCCAGGAAATGGGCCACACTAAGAATTATGGCTTAATCTTCTTATTTTAGCAGGGAGCTATATGTTTTTACATTGCCTGGCGTAAAAGGTCATTTTGCCTGGCGTATGTCAACAGAGAATAGGTTAGAGAGAAAAAGAAGGGAAGCAGCACTTAACAGCGGTCCAAGCAGGAGATGATCAAGATGGTGGCAAAGATGCAGAAAGAGTCGAGACATATTTTGGAGGTAAAACCAAAAGACTTACTGGTGGCTTGGATGTGACCATGTGTCACATGTTGAAAACAACAGAGTGACATATATATCATTATAATTAACGAAAAGCACACACATACAATTATGTATAGGGAGTATTACTCCCCTTACTTTTCAAAGACGACACTGAAGATGTAAGAGGTTAGACGGCTGGCCAAAGTCTGCCTCCCAAAAGATACGGTACAGATGAGAAACACAGGAAGTCAAAATGAGAGAAAGGTTAACGTAGGTTCAACTACTCATGAAAAAGGTTTGGGCGCCTGGGTGGCTCAGTCGGTGGAGCGTCTGACTTCAGCTCATGTCATGATCCCATGGTTCATGAACTGGAGCCCCTTTTCGGGCGCTGCTGTCAGCACAGAGACTGCTTGGGATCCTCTGTCCCCTTCTCTCTCTGCCCCTCCCCCACTTAAGCTCTCTCTCAAAAATGAATAAAAATTTAAAAAAAGAAGAAGAAGAGGCTTATACCAGACTAGAGAATGAGTACTATTTAATTTCATGATGGGCTTGGGTTGGGGGTGAGGGGTATGTAGGCTGGGAGTCCAAAGTGGGGAAGGGGCTCCATTTTTAGAGGGAAAGACCACTCTTAATGCAACAGAGAATAAGCAACTGGCAGGAGGTTCGTCCGAAGCTTCTACTTAATATTGTATTGTGTGTTTGTGTACTTCTACATCCTTCCTAAACCTACTTTACGTTTTCAGTCGATTCATTTTTCATTTTGCTACATCTATTGAGATTTCTCTTTCACGACTTTCTAGCTACTGCATTTCTTCACACCCCTATCGCATTACCACACTACAGCACAAATGTTAACCGACGTGTCCCCGACGACCAGATTCTCTAAAGGCAAGAAAGGTCTTCATTCATCTTTCATCCCTGGTACTTCACGAAGAGAAAGAAGGCTTGAAAAGAAGTCATTCTTTAAGTGAGTCTCCCACGTCTCGCTCTAAAATGACTACTTTCGATTTTCAAAGAGATCCGCGTCGGTTCAAGGTCTCGAGTTCGTGGACGCCCCCGCGCTGAGGTAACCCAGGCCCGGCGGGACCAACGTCGCTCCCACCTGAACCCCCGGGTCGCGCCCGCCGGGCCCCGGTGCCGCGGGAGGCAGCTCCGGGGAAACGCGCCGCCCGCTGTGTCAGCCCCGCCGCCTCCGCCAACGCCTCCGCGACCCGCAGCCGCACCGAAAGCCGGCCCCCACACCCGCCGCATCCGCCGCCGGCCCGCCGCCCCGCGAAGCCCTGCGACGCCCCAGAACGGCTCTCACCCTCAGCCCCTCAGCCACGACGACCCGACCCGAGCCCTCAGAGACCGGATGTGGGCCGCGGACGCTGTCAGACAGGTGCGTGAGGAAAGAGCCCCTTCCGCTTCCTCTCTAGGGCTCTCGGAGGTCCGTGCGTCTCGGTGGTTGCTGGTCCGCTGGGGCTGTGCCTGAACGCGCGCCCGGACTGACTCCTCCCTAGGAGGCTCGCAGCCGTCAGGCCTTTAGGAGCCTCCGTGCCATTGCACCTTCTCTTTCTAGGTGAGGAGGACCCTCCAGACATACTACCGGACACGAAGCCTCCCTCAAGGGGCTTTGTAGTCCCGTCGGTCACCACGTGCATATTCGCGTACTTTGTCGCAGGGGCAGAGGGAGACGGAGGGAAGCAGTGAAATATTATAGGTTCGCAGAAGAGGGGCCTCGACCCGAGTAGTTGGGAGGAGGGAGTTGGCCAGAGGAGCCGGCACCTCAGCTCAGTTTTGAAGGGTGGACCAAAAAGTGAGGTGAGTGTCCCCAGCAGAGGGAGCACGACAAGCCCAGCGAGTGTGGAGGGATTGCCGGCATTCCCACACCATCTTAGCCACTAGTGCAGGTGGTTAAACCAGGTGTTTCGGAGAACAATTTAAAGGCAACGGGAAGCCGTGTAAAGGTTTAAAGGCGGGAAGGGACAGATTTTAGAAAGATGCTGCTGAGAACCCTTGGAGAAAGACTGAGCAAGAAAGGAAGGAAGTGGAAAATGAGAGGACTGACTGTTGGGTAAAACGAGGCTGAGTAAGGCAGTCCAGGAAAAAGAGGATGATGCAGACCTGGGGCAGTTGGTGACTAGAGCTTGCAAGGAGTGATTAGATAGGAAACTTATTGGGGAAGTAAAGTTGCCAAGGTTTGAGGATTGATTGGATATGGAGAACGAGAGAGAAGATGGAATAATTTAGTAAATTATAAAGGCCATATATATGGATAAGAATGGACATTTAGGGACACCTGGGTGGCTCAGTTGTTTGAGCGCCAGCTCTTGATTTTGACTCAGGTCATGATCTCACGGTTTGTGAGATCAAGCCCCAGTCCCACATGGGGCTCTGCACTGACAGTGTGGAGCCTGCTTGGGGTTCTCTCTCTCTCTCTCTCTCTCTCTCTCTCTCTCAAAATAAATAAATAAACAAAAAAAATAATGGACATTTAAAAAGCAGACAACAGGCTGGTCATCTGGAAAGAGATAATATTGGGTCCACACCTTATACCACATCCTGGCCCAAGTCCAACTGAGCTCACAGGATCTCAGATTCTTTTATACTACAAATTACATTTTCAGTCCACCTTGGAAATAGTTTCAGATAGCCTCCATCCACTAACATGCACTCACTTCTGAGAGATAGGAGACAACCTCGTCACTCAGGGCCAAATGAAACTGGCTGATTGGCTCAATCTGTCTGGGAAAATTGAGCTATTCCTAGTGATATCAAAAACATTTCTTGGGGCGCCTGGGTGGCGCAGTCGGTTGAGCGTCCGACTTCAGCCAGGTCACGATCTCGCGGTCCGTGAGTTCGAGCCCCGCGTCGGGCTCTGGGCTGATGGCTCAGAGCCTGGAGCCTGTTTCCGATTCTGTGTCTCCCTCTCTCTCTGCCCCTCCCCCGTTCATGCTCTGTCTCTCTCTGTCCCAAAAAAATAAATAAACGTTAAAAAAAAAACAAAAACAAAAACATTTCTTCAGCTTGACATGGAGAAGATACAGGGAAGAGAGCATTCTGGTAGAGGCAGGAGGAGATTGGATAAGATCACAGGTTTCCAGGGCAACTGTGGAGAGGAGAAAGGGGCTCCTGCTAATTGGGAAGAAAAGAAACATGGGTGATGGTCTAGGTTGGGGCTTAGCAAACTTTTTCTATGAAAGACCAGAAAGTGACTACCCTAGGCTTTACTGGACACATTTTCACATATTCTTCATCTTTACAATCCTGTAAAAATATCAAAACTATGTTTAGCTCACAGCCAGTGCTAGATTTGACACAAAGCCTGTAGTTTGCTGACCCCTGAAGTAGATGGTTTTAAAATTACTCTAGAGAGGTGTCTGAGGAGTTCATTCTTGGCCTCTTTCCTTAGTGATATTACCTGCTAGAATGCAAGGGACAATGATCTATTGTGAGGAATGATGTAAGAAAAAATTGTAAGGTGAATGGAAAGATTGTCAACACTGCACACCCAAGTGAAGGTAAAAACAAAACAAGTGACAGAATCAATCCACACAATTGTTTGCACCATCTGGGGCAAATTTGCTTAAACAGGTGGATTAATGTAATGTTGGGATTTGTCATATGAGAGGATGGGGGTTCTGATGAGAGATGTTTGCGTTGAGTGACCATGAGTACAAGCTGAGCAGAAAGGAGGGATGCAAACCAACAAGAACAACAAGGAGAAACTGAAGACTCAGAGGCAAGGATGAGGCCATGAGGCAGGTTTCAGGAACTTTTCCAGAAATGTTATAGCCAAACTAAGCATAAAATGCATTTCCTTTTTGTGTTCCATAAATAGAACCATGCTATATTCTGTTCTGCACTTTGCTTTTATTCACTAAATAACTTATCTTTCCTTATCTACATATATTGATCTACTCAGCTCTTTTTACCAGCTGCATAGTGTTTCATTGCATGGATTTGCCGTGACTTCTGAAGACTCTTGGTGGACATTTAGGTTTTTTCCAGCATTAGATTT